GTTTTTGAACGAATCTCTTGAATGAATGATTCAATGACTCATAAATAGGCTACTTCACTTGTTTCATTACTGGATGAATCAGTGTTTATGAACGAATCTCTTGAATGAATGACTCAATGACTCATAAATAGGCTACTTCACTTGTTTCATTACTGGATGAATCAGTGTTTATGAACGAATCTCTTGAATGAATGACTCAATGACTCATAAATAGGCTACTTCACTTGTTTCATTACTGTATGAATCAGCGTTTTTGAACGAATCTCTTGAATGAATGATTCAATGACTCATAAATAGGCTACTTCACTTGTTTCATTACTGGATGAATCAGTGTTTTTGAACGAATCTCTTGAATGAACGATTCAATGACAAACACATTTTTAACAGTCACTTGTCGCCACCTAGTGGAGAAACGATGCAATCGACACAAACGTTATTTGAAGCGCCAGTTACTTTCAGAAGATGACTTGCTCTATTTTGATCGCTTCCATAGACATCAGTGTTTATATCTGAACTATAAACTTTCACCTCAGTATTTCTGTGATTATACAAATGTCTGTAAGACAGTAATAATGCTGTGTAGTTGAAAAGACTGTTTGTGAAGCGGTTTCTTACCTAAACATGCTAACTGCTCTCTCTGTCAGCGGCAGCGCGAACACAGATCTGAATGTTCCTGTAAGACTTATTCAAAGGTTTAATAGACACAAGCGAATCGCTGTCATGGGATCGTGTGAGTGTTTGAATCGAGATCACAATCTTTTAACGATTAATCGTGCAGCTCTTCGTTAAACTGAAAATAAATAAATAAATGCACAATTAACGTGTTAATGTTGATAGCCCTAATATATCTTAATTTTATTCATGATTTAGCAGCTGATGTCATGGCGCTCGTCTCACCTCCACGCAGTGATCGCAGACTATGAAATATAAACACCAATTGTGAGATAAAAAGTTGCAATTACCTTATTTTATATATATATAGGGCCAGGCAGGTTTGGACAGCTTTTTTCCTTAAATAAATGAAATAATTGTTTCAAAACTGCATTTTGTATTTACTCGGGTTAACTTTGTGTAATATTAAAATTTGTTTGATGATCTGAATCATTCAAGTGTGACAAATATGCAAAAAATAAAAAAAACAGGAAAACGTTTTCACACCACTGTAACTGTGACTTTACGTGACATTGTTTTACTGACGTCTTCCTGTGGCTGAAACACCACATCTATAACTGACAGAATTTGAAAGCTGATACTTTATTTCTGTTTAAAAGTGACAAAGCACAAAACTGCGATTATTGGATGGCAGGCACGCTACGAATAATGAATGGAATTAAAGACGTGAAATAGGCTATTTCCAAGCATTTATACTGTCCTTCCAAGCAAGATGTTCTTTTAATAATCCCAGATCATATGTAATATTTTACTGCATGATTACATGCTATACAGAAATATATTTTTTATCAGATGAATTACTGTCGGCAGTGTGGTACAGTCTACACCGAGCTTCGCGATATCACTTATCCTGCCCGAAAAGACCATAAATATTAGTAATAATGAACTAACAGACATGAATCCTAAAAACTAATAATGTCCGAGCTAGAGATGTAACGATTCAACAAAATGAGATTTAAGACAAATTATAAATTAAATGTCTTTTTATTATTGCTTGGACAAAATGCTGCACATGTCTTTGTGAAATTTAAATGTAACACTATAATAATATACTAATATAGCACTTGTAAATTATTGCTCTTTTGTTGGTTTTGATTGCTTCTATTGTCCTCATATGTAAGTCGCTTTGGATAAAAACGTTTGCTAAATGACAAAATTTAAATATAATGTAAATGTAAATAA